ATCAGGCAAAAAAAATGATCGGGCCAATCAAATTGCCAGGGCGGGCTTTATACGATGATGGACAGATGATCTGCAGGGACGTAATCATCACGTTATCAAAGGACGCTTGTCAAAGATGACTGCAACTGGAGAATTGAGATGTATAGATTCCGCTGTCGCGTCTTTTGTAAAATAAATCGACAGCGCATTCATTTTAATAGACAAACAGAGAACTGCAATCAAGGCATTTGTCGATCGAAAAGATATTTTTGGGTTCCTTCCTACATGATTCGGGAAAAGTGTAACTTATCAGCTGGCTCTGACGGTCGCTAAGAAGATGGGACGCAATGAAAAGCCTGTGGTCGTTGTGGTTTCTCCTTTGGTGGCACTCATGGAGAAGAAAGTAAAAGAAGCAACACTCGTTATTTAACTTCTAAAATAAATAAAGTTAGGCTATGTTCTGTATTTGAAAACTGCGCTATGCAAAGGAGTTGACTTATGCGTTGCTCTGATTGGTTGTAGGTCTACTGACTATCCAATTGAGTGCAGAGGGTTTTTTTTTTTTCCTGGTTCGGTTACGACACGCCTCATAATCAAAGCCCAACGGAGGAGTTTCAACTCATATTCTCTCTTGAATATGAGTATGACGAAGTCAGGCTAGGGGACCACCTAAATATACTGTATACATACAGTATATACCTGAACCACACACACACACTTCTGCTCAAAAGTTTTTTGCTGAAATTAATACATTTATTCAGCGAGGAAGTCTTCAATTGTTCAAAAATGACAGTGAAAGTATATTCGATTCCAACATAAAATTGTGAATTAAAATCTCCCTTCATTATAGAGTTGAATCTTGTCTGGCTGTATGTCAGTGTGGGTTTCTTAAAGTTACAATGTTTGGCAAGTTTCTTAATGTGACAACTAACCCCAACCTGCCCTATACACAGTATTGAACAAATTCCCTTATACAGTATTTTCAAAGTTCACACAGACAGATGAGTGAAATATTTTTATGTCCCTAGTGAGACATTGGTGTCTCGAACACTATATTATTTTGTGATCCTCATCTCCTGTATGAAGTACCTGTACAATTTTAGTTTCCTTTGTTTTTTCCTGTGCTGAGCAAGAGCAAAGACGGAGCCAAATTACATGAGCGCTCCAATCAATCAATCTCCCAGCATGCTTTGCGCTTAAAATGACCTTCATTGAGGGTGGAGCACTAGACCAGTGATTCATGGTCTAGTCGTCATCATCAGGTAATCAACGGAACTGGCGCCTGAGCCGATCTGAGGTGTATGTGTGTGTACTGTTATTCTTATAACACACAATAAGCCATTCATATTGACCGAATCACATCCTGTCTATACTTTCTTGCCAAATAAACACCATGTCAGCAATTGTAAGCCTAAACAAGGGGTCAGACGAATGGAAGGTGGGTAAGAGACATGAATGGATGTCATGGCAGTCGTCCAACACTGTGTTTTTAAATAGATCCTGCTCATGAAGTGAATGGAGAGGGTTTTTTGGTAACACTTTATAATAACTACACGCTAATAATCATTAGTTAAGCATGAGTAAACCATTAATTCATCATTCATAAAGCATTAATAGACATTAATAAGCAGTTCATAAATAAAGCTATAAATGCTTTCTTCTTGATTTATACGCATATCTATAATTTGTTTAATAATTATATTTTCATCCTTTACTAATGATCAATTTATCATTTCTAAATGAAGAATTGCATTTTTTATGAGCCAGTTATTTAAGAGTTTTCAGTGGTTCATACGATTACTTAGAGCGAGTAAGTGATTGATTAATAAACTATTTAAATGTACATTCATACATCTTATTATTCAGACATATAGTGATAGTTAATTAATGTGTTAATAAATGCTTTATTAACATGTATTAATGCTGTAATTAAGGGTTAATTTGGGTAGTTAGAAAGCATTTAGTAGTGGTCAGTTAACTATGTTCGTGAGCTCATCTAAAGTGAGGACTAGTCATGCCTTGTAAAAGCATTTTTAAAGGCTGTTAAATATTTCTATGTTCTGTATCACTGCGTTGTGTTTGTTACATTTTACTGTTTAGAAGATTGACGAGTCTTTAAATCACCTTTATAAATGCTTTACAAAGCATGAATAGTCCTCACTTTAGATTAGGTCACAAAAAAATAGTTAAAGGGTTAGTTCACCCAAAAATGAAAATTCTGTCAGTATTTACTCACCCTCATGTTGTTCCAACCCCGTAAGACCTTCGTTCATCTTCGGAACACAAATTAAGATATTTAAGATATTAAGATCGCTCCTGCATACAGTCCATAGGCTTCTTGAGGGACTGGCTCTTGCTGTCCTCGAAAAGTCATTAAAGACATCGTTAAAATAGTCCAAGTGACTACAGGGGCTCAATCTTAAGTTTATCAAACGACGAGAACACTTTTGTGCGCAAAAAAACAACAAAAATAACGACTTTATTTCAACTATTCATTTATTTCTCCCTCTGCGCGAGTCAGGTTACTAGTTTAATAGCGTAAGCTTCTGTTATTGTACGTCACACGCATCACACACACATGACCATCGTCGGCCAATAGTGAGCCTACGTGTGACGTAGCTCTACGCAATCACACTACGTTAACTGACTTACAGGCTCATGGAGAAGGAAGTGAATAGTTGAAATAAAGTCGTTATTTTTGTTGTTTTTTTGCGCACAAAAGTGTTCTCGTCGTTTGATAAACTTAAGATTGAGCCCCTGTAGTCACTTGGACTATTTTAACGATGTCTTTAATGACTTTTCGGGGACAGCAAGAGCCAGTCCCTCAAGAAGCCTACGGACTGTATGCAGGAGCGATCTTAATATCTTAAATATCTTAATTTGTGTTCCGAAGATGAACGAAGGTCTTACGGGGTTGGAACAACATGAGGGTGAGTAAATACTGACAAAATTTTCATTTTTGGGTGAACTAACCCTTTAACTGACCACTACTAAATGCTTTATAACTACCTGTATTTACTACATTTACTTACACTTTCTAAGTGATCTTATGAATGACTGACAACTCTTAAACAACTGGTTTGTAAATAATGCTATACTTCATTTAGAAATTATTAATTGATCATTAACAAAGTAAGAAAATACAATCATTAAACGCATTATAGATATGCTTATAAATCAAGAAAAAAGCATGTATAGCTATATTTATAAACTGCATATTAATGTCTATTAATGTTTTATAAATGATGAATTAACTGTTTACTCATGCTTAACTAATGATTAATAGTGTGCAGTTATTATAAAGTGTTACCGTTTTTTTTTATTATTAAATTTCAGGGGACTCACTTAATGCTCTAAATGAGCAATGAACCTGATAAAAAAAGCACATGTAGCACATGTAAAGGCTGTAATGTTGTAATGTTGAGTTCCATGTTGTATTTCACGTTTTGGTTTCTTGTACAGTACCATCCAATAATCCAAATAAAGTTCATATGATCAAATGGTTATTTTCTTTTTGTTGAACATACCAAAAACATGGTTTATAAGTCTCTAAAAGCAGTTAACAGCAGAGATTATTGTAAATTTTAAGGGGAAAAATAATAAACTCAGCGTAATTAGAACCACCAGACCTCTGCTTGACCTATACGCCTTAAGTCTCCTACTTTCGTAAGTCCTCTCCATTTCCCTTCAGTCTCTGAAAGTCTGGGTTCAGGAAGGCCAGTGTGGGGAGGAGGTTGATTTAATTCAATACAACATTAAACTCCAAATGAGATTCTTCCTGCCCAAGACCAGAAAGAGCTCAGGACCAGGCCGAGAACGGGTGGGTGAGGAAACTCACAGGTCACTGGGTTCAGTGAGGGCCCGAGGGGCGACAGGAAGAAGGGGTCATGATGACTTGGGCTCCAAGTGTTGTGTGACATTATTCTTTTGAACCAGCTACAAAACCTGTACAATTGAATCTGTAAAATTGCAAATGAATCTGCATTACATTTTCTAGTAATACTGTCCAAAAAATATCACAAGTTTGGATGTTGTTTACTTGAAGCTTAATTTTGTATTTGGTGTCATGCATATGATTTTAAAATCATGCAACATTGTCATTTCATTCTAAAAACGTATGCATGGCACCAGTACAAAATTAAGCTTAGGCAAACAACATGCAGACTTATGATATTTTTTGGACAGTATGACTAGAAATTTTGCAATTTTACAGATTTAACTTTGACGCCAACTGTCCAAAAACATCATGTTGTTTACGTACATCATCATGTATCATGCATATGATTTCACACAGATATTATATTATATTAATTCTATGCATGAGGTCAACACTACAAAATAAAGCTGCATGTAAACAACATGCAAACTTATGATATTTCTTGACAGTTAAGATGGATTACACATTGAAAACAAGCCAGCGATGGATAAAAATGATCCCAAGAAAAGCCTGGCCTTCCAGCCCCAGAAGCACTGCCCGTTGTGTGTGGTTAATGACACACAATTGAGAGGGTAAACAAACTGTCTGGGAACGAATAAATCATTGCACATAGCTCATCAAAGTAAACAACCTGAGGTAAACAAGGCAGACAAGGGCTCCTGTCTCTAAGCAAAATAGTTCCTAAAGATACAAAGCACCATGCCAGAGCCAGTTCATGTGATACAGTCTGCATTTGATTCGCTTCAGACCTAATCTGTGAAGGATTGCGTGACAGCCCTCTGAGAAAATAAATGATCTTGATTCCGGATTAAACTTGAGCAAACGCTTGGAACGGATGGCTAATTTTTTATCCAAAAATGATCAGGCTAAAATTTCACTAAATTTGGAATGTATCTTTTCTGTGTTACAATGGTATTTTGGCTTGGAGGTTTCAAGACATTCCATTCTTCTGGTTACTTAACAATGATGCTGTGTCTATCAGCGAGACAAACAGAAGGAGTTTGCCGGTCGGAACCAAACAATGGCTGAATGGGATTTGACCTTTGGTCCTTTACAGTAGTAAATTGCCATGCAATGAATTTACCTGTAAATGACCCCATTTTGGTGCAGGAACATGAGGGCTGAGGTCACCTCAGCAGCGTAGAACCGGGAACGAGCTTCATCAAATTTGCGTGAACGCTGGATCTGGAACATCAGGTCTCCGCCATTCACATATTCCATAACAAAGAACAAACGGTCCTGAAGATAAAAAACAGAAGAAACATGTTCATTACTGAATAATGCAATAACTTTTCTAAATGTTTCATACAAACATTTCAGTTCAAAGATTCTTTTGAGAAAGTGTTATGGTACGTTCACACCGGACGCGAATAGCGCCACAGGAGCGAATGATTTCAATGTTAAAGGAACACTCCGACTTTTGGGGACTTTAGCCTATTCACCTTACCCCCCAGAGTTAGATAAGTCCATACATACCTTTTTCATCTCCGTGCGTGCTATAAGTCTGTTTGACGCACCCACCGCTAGCCTAGCTTAGCACAAAGACTGGATGTGAATGGTTGCAGCTTTCATACTAATCCAAATGAGTGGCAAAATAACGCAAACGTTTTCCTATTTACATGTTGTGATTTGTATAGTCACATAATGTACAAATAACAAAGTCAAATGAGACACAGACATCTTTTAACCGTATAAAACCTGGGCACTATTCTCTGAAGGCGAAGCACTGCTACTTTGACGGAGTAATAACCGCATCACCTGAGACGCGCCGTGGTGAGGAGCCGAGAGTTCGCTCAGTGTTTGGGTAACAGAGTCAGCAATTTATAAATAGTAAAAGCGTAATTTACAGTCATGGGTTTTCGCTCTATTGTAAATAGCTGTGACAGTAAACAGGGGAGGTAATACCATGTTTCACAGAATTCCAACTAAAAACGCTGACTGGATGAAGAAATGGCTAATTACTCTGGATATTTATCCAAACACACCTAAATAGATTATCAAGGGACATTATGTTTGCTCGGTACATTTCAATGAGGACGACTATTTTGAAAAAATGGAATTTGCCACATGGACCATAATGCATGCAAGCTATACGGTCATCCCATCACAGACAGGACAAGTGGATCACCTGCGGCTGAGGTAAGTGTTCCGTTATGTTTTTAGATGACCTACTGTAACAGTGCCATTAGCCGGAGCTAATGTAACGTTAGTGACACTATTATATGATTAGGGTATGAATATGTTTTTATCTTGATGCTGTGCGGACGCGCTTGGAAAAAAAAAACGAGCGCGTTCACCACGTTGAACTTGCACCCTGCGCGCGGCGCGCCTAGTAGCCTAAATTTGAAATAACCGTGGAAATAACGAACTTGAGTGTGCAAAAGGGTACGATAGGCTGTGAGTTCATTGTGCAAAAACAATTTGTGCTATTACTTTCCCCTTATTCTATCCTATAGTAATGCAATTATACTGTATATTATATACTGTTGAATACATTTGGTTCAGCTAATAAATTGCATTTAAAATATATTGATTCCTGTAATAATAATTATTTATTCATGTGATATTTATAAATCTGGGTGCGTTTTTGGTTGGAAATCAATGAAACATGGTACTGTATTACCTGGTCTCCCCTGTTTATTGTCACAGCTCATACAATAAAGCAAACACCCATGATAAACTATGCTTTTCTATCTAACGTTAGTAATTGCTGACTCTTTACTCCAACACTGAGCGAACTCTCTGCTCCTCGTCACGGTGCGTCTCAGGTGATGGTTATCACTCTGCCCAAGTAGCAGTGCTTCGTCTTCAGAATTATTTATACGGTTAAAAGATGTCTGTGTCTCATATGGCCTTGATATTTGCACACTCTGTGACTATACAAACCACAACATGTAAATAGGAAAACGTTTGCGTTATTTTGTCACTCATTCGGATTAGTATGAAAGCTGCAACCATTCACATCCAGTCTTTGTGCTAAGCTAGGCTAGCGGTGGGTGCGTCAAACAGACTTATAGCACGCCCGGAGATGAAAAAGGTATGTATGGACTTATCTAACTCTGGGGGGTAAGGTGAATAGGCTAAAGTCCCAAAAAGTCGGAGTGTTCCTTCAAGTCAATGCAAAGACGCATTAGGCGCGTAAAAATTCCTGCGGCACGAATGAGGCGTAGAGCGTGGTGCGGTAGACATGAATACGCCTCATTTGCGCGAATGCCGCGAATTGAGCGTCTGGTGCGTTAAGCACGTTACACACGAATGATTTAGCATTCATGCGTTTGAAGAGAATTCGCGTCTGCCGCCCGAGTTGAAAAATCTGAACTTTGTCGTCAAATTTGCGCCGCGTTAACCAATCAGGAGCGTGCTGCTTGCTCACGTGGTGAAGTATCTGGATGCTTCAATAAATTATATTGTAACATAACTAAATGCGTGTGGTTCTAATGCACAACAAAGCAAATATTTTATCACTCAAAACTTTATTTCAATATACGAGACATGTTCATTTTGTATTGAATGTTATTCATTCCATATCTAGATTATATGAAATTATTAAGATATAAAGACAACCAACACATGTGCATAAGTTCGTGTCTGGACGTGAGAGAGAAAAAAAAAATCACAGGACAGGTTAATAACTTTTGGAGGCTGGCTCTTTTTATCATCAAAACAAAAATAAATGACAGATTAGACGGATGAGGGCGAGGGTGATCCTCGCTCCAATGCGGGACAACAGGTCATCAAACTGGGCACGGGACTGACGCAGCTCCTGGAGCGAGCAAATGACTCGCCAAAAGGTTCGCCGATCCGAAGGGTCCGGTGGACACAAATACGGCGACGATGATCCCCATGCCACTGTTCTGCTCTCCAGAGTAAATACAGAACGGTGACTCTCTCAACGAATGCTCGGTCGACATAAAAAATTGGCCGCCAACGGATTTCGATTCTGACGCACGTCATTTCGCTTCAAACTTTTGTTTTTTTCGTGGGTCAGTTTCGCTCTTTACGCGCGAATGGATTCAAAGTGGTCAAGCGTCAAACTAGACGTGGTAGGCGCGAAATTGACGTGCTATTCGTGTCCGGTGTGAACGTAGCATTAGGTGTAAACCTCTTAATCTGCACCCCTATTTTTGAGAATTTCTTGCATGTTAACATGTTAACTTCTATCTTTGGTAAACATTGCTTTAGTTAATAGATGTTAAACATTTTGAGATAGACGTGATAGTGATAAACTGAGACATTAGACTGGTTCATATTATTTCAAAACCATTACAAAGAATCGTTTCATAGGAGTACATTTTTCCATTCACACCTTAATAGAGTGTGATCTGCCCGCAACTCTCAAGATCCTTTAACAGAATCAAACACAGGAAAAAAAAAAAAAAAACAACCAAGCCTTGCATAAAGGATTCAGACATAGGGAAATGCACTTTCAAAAGAAAATATGTTTTGAGAAATTACGAAATCAACCGATTAACCACAATGGGGGTTAAAAGAAAAACATTACACAGAATAGAATATAAATGTTGGGGAGTTCATAGAGGAGACACAGGCCTAGAAGCATCCATCCGTTCTCAGAAAACATGAAACCATTACCCTGCTCGGCTCGGCTGAATAGAATATAACTCATTATCTTCAGTGGGTCATGCACATCATTTCAAAGAATCAAGATGTATATCAAACCCACACATACTGCGAGTCCAGCTATGTGACTCGTGTCCTAGTCAGCAGACATACAGATTGGCTCATGAAATATGCTGAGCTATGAACAAACATACTCATAATCACCGTTCATTAGTCTAAATGATGGGAATCATTGAGAAGAACTGGTTTACCTTCGAATTTGAATTCTCCAAAAAAGTTGCTAACAATGGAAAACGATACTGATTTTTATTACATTTTGTGCATATTTTCTATGTTGCAGGTTAAAACAAAATTTGACTTGAAAAAGGCCTGAAGTGTATCTTTGGGGTGTGGAAAATATTTTGTTTAATATGCAATCAATCCAATACCCTATTCATTGCTACCCGTGTTTTGTCTCCAAATTTAGACGACAATGAAGTGTGGGTGATATTTTAAGACATTAAAAGCCTCATCCAACTGGTTCGCTTGATTTACTTGGTGATATGAATGATATGCTGATTTTTTAGAATTGAAATCATGATTGCATTGTAATCTTGCGTAATTGTGGGTCCAGTCTGCCCTGCCTGTCCCTTTGCTATGAAAGCGAATTTAAACAGGATGCTGAAATAGTTTGTTTAAAATGTGCCCAAAGTTACAGCAAAGGCCCACCCAATCAAATGCCAATAAACATTTCCTGCCTCTAATTAGAAATGTACAGATACTGGCGTCTTGTGCCGTGCAAGAGAAAAGGCCTGATGGACAGATAACCACCAAGACCCAACAAGCCGGGCTAACAGAGTGTATCAGCCGGGCTTCATCTGCACAACAAATGACTGAGTGTTAAAGTACACCTTACATAACACAAACAAGACACACTTTAACCTTTTAAGAAACATGAAAAGTGTATCACCTACAGTAAGTGACTGTGTATATATGAGTGTGAGCTTTCTTCTGTTAGCTGTTGTGGACTGAAGTTGTGCCCCACTTTTCTTCATGGTAATTGTCGTTCCCCACAGTGAGATTACCACACTCCGTACTAGCTTAACAAATGACCAGCTTTGTGAAGCTGATAGGAACAGGATATAATTATAATTTCAGTAAAGAGTGTATTATGTGTGTGGCCCTGGACATTAATCAAGAATGTTTATCTTTAAGTCCAAAGCTAATAACCGACTCTGTGTTTTGTGTCCAGAAGTCTGAGAGCACTAATATAATTGTTCTTGTTTTGCATGCTTTAATTTGATGTGTTTGATTGAAGTGGCAGAACGATTGGAGTATGACATCAAAGTAACGCGAGAGCGATAAGAGAGCATTCGGCTCTGTATGCTTTCGAATCGCTCGGTACTTTGATGAAATAAACTGATCGGCCTGTGCACCGCAGTTTCAAGTTGAACACAACCTAACATTTTTCAGCTTAATGCGAGAGAAAGATTCCATCAATGCCAAATCGTCTACAATTCGTTCATATCAATTCAAAAAACACATTTAAATCATTTGTTTAAATTATTGTTTTGTTGGAATGTAACAAAATGTGAAATCCAAAAAAATTTTTAATTCATTTATTACACACAGGGCCTAAAATTAACACTCGGCAAGAGCCGAAAAGCGAGTAAAGATCGGCA